AAAAAAACTTACAAAAAAGTATAAACGATATGTTAGATTCCAAGTCAAAGAAAGTCTTGTATTGGAAGGAACGCCTCTGAACTAGTACTGGAAACAGGCCCGAGGACCCCAAACTGTGCTTGGACGACCACGCTTGCACGAGTCAATGATCGAACCCAGTAGCTTGCTCATACACGCACATTTAAATTATGTTTTCAGTTTTCCGTTAATTATGTGTGTATCGGCAGGTTACATTACCAAGTATAATAATTAATGTTTTATGTTAAAAAAAATTAAAACTGCTTTTTTAATGCAGAAAACTTTCTGCTAGTAAAACAAAGACTGATTATATGCAATAAATTTTCTGTGATAGTAAAATTACCTGTTGATGATAAATGAATGATTTTCATGTGTTGAGTAGGATTGCATTAAATTAATTTGATAGAGAACAGCAGCACCGATCTAATATACAAGCGCATAAGTGTAACTGGTTGAGAACATTTTTATTTGAAAGTAGACAACTTTGAAGAGTTGGACCTTTCTACTATAGACCAGGGCTAAAGCCTTCAAAAATGGTAAAAAGTGAAAACAATTAGTAGGATGAAACACATTAGAAAAAGACGGGAATATAATAAAAATGAAAGGGAAAATAAATTAAAATCTGAGTTCGAGAAATGGGTAAAGGGTGAAGGGGTAAAAAATGGTTTATTTCGATTTTCGGCAAAACTACAAGTCCTATGGAAAAAGTTGAATGGCACAGTTGTAGATAATAAAAAGATCTACAACTTTCACAATTCACAAGTTTTCACATAACCTAAAAATTTATATGAAAAATTTAAATAACCAAGTTTTTGGTTTTTTATTTTTATCTTCAAAAAACATTTCTACGAAATTTGGTCAAACCTTACCCCTAAATACACTATGATTCATTTGATTTAAAATATTCCTTTTTTTCATCTTATTTTCACTTAATATCAAAAAAGCACCACAATTTTCAATCGAAAATTCTCGCATCAAAATATCAGCTTTTTTCAAAAAGTCGGTGTACTTTTTGTTCGTTGAAATCTCTTTTGTATGATGGTGTAAAAAATATACTGTAGTAAATGTTCTCAGAAAATCCAGAAANGCAATTTTTTTTTAATAAATAAAAATAAAATTATTTGAATTTTCCACATAAATTTTGAGGTTATGTGAAAAAATGGTAAATACAAAAATTGTAGATATTTTCATTACCTACAACTTTGCTCTTCAACTTTTTTCCGTAGAACTTGTAGTTTTGCCGGAAATCGAGATAAACAAATTTTTACTCTTGAAAACTCACCTCCTCCCACTTCCCGAACTCAGATCGCCCGCAATGGGTTTCATCCTACTATTGTTTTTTTGTTTCAAAAATTATCGACCCTGGTCTCCTAATAAAATTATCGAAATATTTCACAGTGAGATTTCCATGAATACAACTTTACGAAAGCAAAATGGTTTTCCGCCATAAGGATGGCCGTTCAAAACGATCGCTTATTAATTAATTCATTTATTTGATAATACAATGTACAATCCATTTTACTCACTTCAACAGTTCAGGTGATACACTGGGCTATTGGATTAATACACTGTGTTGAACAGTCTTGTTACAATTATCTTTAGCTACATTAAAGTTATGGTGATACCTAGATTCTTTGGAAAAGTCGAAATAGTTGGTTCAAAGTTTTGCATATAAATTGACTTATTTATTTTTCAGATTGTGTAAAGTTGAAGACGTTCCAGAGTATCCCTGATCCTTCGCTATACCTTCTTGAATAAAATAAGTTATCGATTCGATGTTTTTCTCTTTCAGAAAATCAATTATTCGTGTAAGAATTGAGCCCTAGAACCTCAAAAACTTCGAGGTGAAGTTTTAGAGCTGGGGTTAAATATCTGGCAAGATATTAGATCCCAGACTGACCTGGAACCAACATTCTAGAAAGAGTAAAAAGAAAGGCAGAGGTAACAGTAATGCTGGCCACTCACACTTACGAAATAACATGAAGGTTAAAATCAGACAAGATGTATTAGCTATGTGTATTTAGCTATGACGGTTAAAGCATATATGCATTTAAATCTGGTGGTCCAAGATGAAACGAACGACCGCTATTAACAATCTGAGCAGATTACATAATCTTTGGGAATAACTGGAGCAATGAAAATCATTCAACTGCTGCATTGGAAACACTTCTGAATATTCCTCCTTTACAATTTGTAATGGTTGAAGAAGCAAGGGTGGGTCAGTTTAGACTGAAAAATTCACCGCGTTACATGAGATAGGACAAAAAAATCGGAATATATGCACATAACACCAAAATACATATTCAACAGAAAGTTTGCAGTTGAAGTCTCAAATCGCGAACAGTTAAACAGTTACTCACTCGGTCAGAACACATGAGTTTTCCAGGCAGAAGTATATACAATCTTGCAATGCGCAAGGAACATTAATTTGGCGCCTCAACGACACTAGTAAATCAATATTGTCACAGATATTCACAGGCTACACTTGGTGCAATGATGAATCCAGAAAATGGCATCAAGACTAGTCTGCGAATGCCATGAATATATACCGTGTGTCAGGACACCCAGACATCACAAGCAACGAAAGAGCTGATGAGTATGCCAGATACGAATCATCAACTCCTTATACAGGTCCTGAACCATCTGTGGAGGAATGAAAGTATTGGATGCAGCACCAGATTGGAAAGTGGGTCTATAAGAAACATAAAGAGTATTGTGAAAAAATACCCGAGAACCCATAAGAGAAAATCTTTATGAATGGATTACAGAGCTACTCACTGGGGACTGTCCATTGAGAGGACGTCTGAAAAAATAAGGCCCATACAATGGAGAACTTAGTTGCAGGCAATGCATAAAAGGACAGAGACAGTGCCTCATATTTCATGCGAAAGTAAGGCACTCGATCACAAGAGGATCCTCACAAATTGGTTCACGGAATAAGATTGTTGGAATGGATGTTATTAAAAAGGTGATGGAAAACGTAATGAACTTATGAGGTTGCAGAAGAAATGTAGTAGTGGAAAAAATGTAGTGATCAAATGGCTTCCAAGTAGTAGGAGGAGAAGGAACTGTTCTTTAATTCTCTGAAGGAATGGTGACAGTATATCAAGGTGAAACCAAAAAGCAATCATTTTCTTGAAAACGTTTCGTGAACGAACAACTTTTGCTAGATTTTCTTCATCTTGATTGTTGTTTAGTTTCAAAATTCCGCAAACTTTTGTACATGGATTTTCAAGTTCCCAAATTGAATTGAATCTTTTTGAAAGTCGATCAAATTGTGCGGAATCCATCTGGAATAGATTTTTTGACACTATGGATATAAATATTACTGGAGTTTTTTCCCAACACCAAACCGTTATTCTAACACCTTGACGACACGCGTTTCGATCACCAAGTGATCATCTTCAAGAGGAAGATCAAACTATTTGGTCTTCGAATTGTCATGGTTCCGAAATTTGCTCCAATATGAAAGAAAAAACCTACGAGTAAGTTGATGATTCAGATGAAATTGTGGATGAAGAACCAATGCAGACTGGAATTAATATTTTAGACGAAGAAGATGATGGTCTTGAATATTTCGAAGAACTAGAATTGGAAAGGTTTGTCGAATCTANTGGACGGCTTTCGACGAAATTTTGCGAATTAATTTGTAAACAGACTTTATGGTGAAGCTCCATTAAGAAAAGTTGAACAAAAAAACGTTGTACACAGTTGAGTTGAGTAAACGCCAAATCAGCAGTCATTCACGGCAGTTAATTCTGTAATTGAATGCTGCAACATATGAAGTTTTTTCGTCTTCAGGAATCTCCATGAATCGAACTCAAAGGTAGAGTCGAGCTGACGAAGTCCTGAGTTACTCAGTAGTGATCAAGTTAAGAACACAGTTATTTTTTAAAGTGAAATTGATCAAAACGCAGCTCAATTAGCCACACACCATATTATGGTATTCAATCCTGCATTCCTTGCCACTTATTCCAAAGTATTGGTGGTAAATACA